GCTATTTTATATTTAAGTACTGCAATCATATTTCATCTAACTATGTTTAAGTATTTACAATCAAACTCTCTAGCAAATATTTAATTGATTTTGAGAATTTGTGGATCTTAACATTTGAAAAAAATATATTATGATATTCAGACAGGGTACATTAGGCATCTATTATAACACAATCATCTAAAGAAATTTACTTGAATTATGCCTCATCAAAAAATTTTACCTCTTTAGCACTGCATTCTTTGTCTTATGACACACAAAAAGAGTACACAAATCAGTACAATGTATTACATTGTATTTAAAAGAACATGTATTAATAAAGCATTTAACCACCATCAACTACAGTATATATCACTTATAATTTATCACACTCTAAATTATTTAAACATGTCTACTTAAAATTTGACATTACTCTAAAAGAAGGCACGTGGAAAATAATTCATATTTTAAACATTTTCATATAAGCAAAGATGCAACAGGGTAGAGTAACTCTTTCAAAAATGAAATAACACCAAGTTGATGTCTCATTATACAAAAAAGAAAAGTACTTAATTTGAATATTTTAAGATATCTGGCATTTGTTAGATATGAAAGAGCTTCATTAACTTTTTCATGATGCCATTATAAATCATAACTAGTTTAGAAAATCATAAGTTGTAAAAATAACAATGTACCCATTTAAGTTCATATGGATAAGAAAAGACAGGAAGCTGGCAAAAATAACCTATTCACTATCTAAATTACTAATATATTGGATGAAATAATCTGTTGATTTAGTATATTTTTCAAATTTAATATATTTCTACAGAATCAAGTCTACATTTTAAAAATAAAATCACTCTTTCCCATGTTTTCCCAGCATTACATTTCATAGGTAGAGCTCATGGCCCCAAAGAGTTCTCTACAGCAGGATGTCTGTAGCTTCAGCTGCATTCCATTGGTATTAACAGAATTCATCCCATTACATTTCCCTTAATGAAATTTGTCCTCAGCAAAAACTGCTAATGTAAGTTGGTAAGTAGTCAAAAATTCAAAAAAGTCTCAATACCAAAAAGAAAAAAAGGGGGCCAGCCTGTGGCTTAGTGGTTAAGTGCACGTGCTCCACTACTGGCAGCCTGGGTTCGGATCCCGGGCACACACCCACGCACAGCTTCTCGGGCCATGCTGAGGCCGCAACCCACATACAGCGACTAGAAGGATGTGCAGCTGTGACATACAACTATCTACTGGGGCTTTGGGGAAAAAAAGGAGGCGGATTGGCAATAGATGTTAGCTCAAGGCCAGTCTTCCTCAGCAAAAAGAGGAGGATTGCCATGGATGTTAGCTCAGGGCTAACGTTCCTCACAAAAAAAAAGAAAAGAAAAGAAAAAGAAAAAGAAAAAAGCTTTAGCTCAGAATCTCCCTAAGATACTCTGCAAGATAATAATAAACAGCCTCCAAAAAGAGTTCAATGGTCAAATAAGTAAAGTTTTCTTTATACAGGAATTCTCATACATTATACTACGTTAATTATAGTTGCATGGGTGGGGAGGTGGAGCAATAGAAATGGAGCATTTAAATTTCTGCAAATTGAAATTAAACAAGATTTACTCAAAAACTGCTGCAGTAAACTCACTGCAATGAGTGTAATTCTGGTGTTAAAAATAAAGTGTATAAATAAGGTTTTTTATTCCATTCAATCCCTAAATGCTAACAAATTTGTCACCCGACACAACCAAAGAAACAACAATCTTAACAACGCTGGAGAAAAATATGTCTGTAGGAGACTATTATTTACACTTTTTGTCATTTTTTTTTGGTGAGGAAAATTAGCCCTGAGCTAACATCTGTTGCCAATCTTCCTATTTTTGCTGAGGAAGACCAGCCCTGGGCTAACATCCATGCCCATCTTCCTCTACTTTACATGGGACGCCACCACAGCATGGCTTGATAAGTGGTGCATAGGTCCACGCCTGGGATTTGAACCTGTGAACCCCAGGGCCGCTGAAGCCAAGTACATGAACTTAACCACTATGCCACCGGGCTGGCCCCTATTTACACTATTTTATGGGCAGCAAAAGAATTTTCAACAGCAATTTTGTATATACATTTTTATCTTCTACACTGATTTTAGAACCTAACAACCAAAAAAGACGTTGCGTTTTTTTAAACACAGAACTCTTTCCTAGAAACATCTCACAGAATTAATATTCCAAAGAATGCACTTTGGAAAACTCTGATCTGGCTGACAGTCAACATTCAAATTGAATGTTCATTATCAATTCTGAGTAGTACCATGCTAGGATTGTAATATGAATTACATTTGGTATGGTAATTTGCTTTCAATAATTTCAAAAAGTTACAACTTGCTACTGTAAAGATGTATTTACTAGAAATATATTGAAAAACATTATCTCAAATGAGAATTATAAGATTCATTAGACCAAGGAAAAGTCACAACACAAATTAAAGAAATTGTCAAAAGGATATATCACATTATACATTCAAGGGATTTTTATAATAAAATATTTAACTCTAATAGCAGACATAAAATGCCAATAAAATTAAGCTATCAACAAGCTAAAATAGTACCATAAAGTCCATTTAATTTTGTTCAATTTCTATAGCCATAACCTAAATTTCAGAGTTAATTTCCCCTCACTACAATGCCCACCCTGAAATACTGCTATTATAACACTAAATCAGAGCTCTAATCATATCCACCTAAGAATAGCCTTCCATGGCTTCCCATTGTACATTCAAGTTCAATTTCTTAAAAATAGCATTTACTGTAATCCATAATCTGGCACCAACCAACTTCCAAATTGATATCCCTCAATTCACCTTCACCCACTCTTCTATTCAACAAAATTTTCTGAGAATCTAGTATGATTTAGGCACCACACTAGGTTCCAAAATACTCTATTCCAGTGGTTCTCAAACTTTAGCTTGCATCAGAACCTCTAGAGAGCTTATTAAAGCCGATTCCTGGACTCCGCCCCCAGAGTTTCTGATTCAAAAGGAATGGATTTACATGTCTCACAAGTTCTCAAGTGATGCTGATGCTGCTGATCAGCATCTACTGTTGGTGAGCCACTGCTCTACTCCACAGGCCACAAGCGGGAAGGCCCACTCACATGTTTTGTCCATGTAGTGTTTTTAAAATGTTTGGAATTATTTGCAAACACTTTAAAATTGGAAAATTTCACACAAAAATGCAGATTTCTGGCTTATTCTTGCATGTAAAAATTCTGCTGGAGCTAAACAGTAGCTTCCCCATTTAGTCAAGGGAGATGTCCTAGTCCAGGTTATCACAGCCCTAACTGGCCCTCTCTACACTCACTTAAAATCACCTGGCTCAGCACTGTATTTGTGCTTGCACACTCTGATGCACTCTTCCCCATTCTCTATGCCTGTTTTCACGCTGCTCACTCGGACTTGAACATCCTTTCTCCCCTAACCTGCTGCAATTCGACCTACCCCATTCTAAAACTTAGCTTAAAAATTCTTCCTCAACAAAGTTCCAGCAAAAATAGAAATCCTTAAGTAATATACATATCAAGATTTAACATAAATTTAATATGTGTGCTTTAAGAATCAAGGTTTTATTTCCACAAATACTAAAATACTAATATTTACAAAAAAAATAAAAGATTATATAGATTATATCATAAATTATAAACATGATTTTTTTGTTATTTTTACTCTAAGTAAAATTTTAATTTTGTTCATTAAAGTTTTTACTGGGATTTTTACTGTGAAAGAAATCTTTTTCAGAATAAAACATTTAAAATGAATTAAGACATATTAAATCTTACAACTAAAATATATAATAGCTCCAATAGAATATTTTATTTTGCTGGACAAAAAAGGGAAGGAGGATGGGGGTAATCGATCAATTCCCCTGATTTCATAGCCCACCAATCTTTAAAAGAAATTTTAATGAAATAAATGCTTCTGATTTTTTAACATGTAGGATATTTTAATGAATTTTTACCTCTGTGGAATAGCAGGGGGAAAAATTACAGAGAAACAAAAACTGAGTGCTGGTCCTGGCTCTGCCATAAATAGCTATGTTACATCAAGTCAGTCACTGAGGTCTCCCTGGACCTCAGTTTCATTACCTCTAAATTGAAGAGGCAGGACAGTGTTCTCCAAATACCTTCTGTCTCTAAAATCCTAGAACTTACTCCTTCAAAAAATGAAAGCATAAAAATCAATGTCATAAAGACGAGCTTCTATTGGGCTAGTATTGCTTCTAAATCAGACCAACTTAAAAACCTTGAACTACAGCTTTCAAAGCTCTAATTAAAAATGTTGAAGACTCAAAACTTTGAAGGAATATGTACGTTTGTATATGTATTTATGTATGTTATATTTTAACGATCAAAATAAAACATTTTTTGTAAGGCCAATAATTAAAGTTAGAAAAAAAATTGGGTGAAGACAAAAATACATAACCATGCCAATCAAGATATTTCAAAACAAAATTAAAAAATTAGAAAATTGTGTCAAAAAAGGTTTTTTCATAATAGAGATAAACAACATTTTTTAAGAATATGTATTCTGCTTTAGGATATTCCCAAATGAAAGTAATTTGGCCAAATTAAAATTATCAAATTGCAAGACTGAAAAAAAATTTTAGAGACTATTACGTTCAGGCAGATCATGCCGTAAGCGAATTGCTTTCAGCTTCTCCACTTCAATTTTTGCTCTTAGCAGCTCTTCCTCTAGCTGCTGCCTTCTTTTCAATCCGTCCCTCTTCTCCTGAACATATAATCCAAAATTTTTTTGATTTTCTAAAATTATCTGATGCTCCTCTTTCAGCATTTGCAGAATCTGAGGATCATACCCTAATTGTGACCTAAAGTGTTCTCCACTCTCATGCTGAAAAAAATCATCTCTCCTTGGGATAGAAGACGGAGACGATGTCATTCTCATATCAACAGAGGAAAGTGACGGTGACAAAGATCTTTCCATAACATGTACTAATTCATGTTCTTCTCTTTGCTCTAAAGTATCACTCTGACGAGAATTTAAAACCAGTGGAGGAGGGGGCTTAACGTCTTCTTCTTGCTTCACCTCCACTGTAATAGCAACTGGACGGTGATCCAACATTACCTGAAGTGAACTTGTACCAGCCTGTGCTTCCTCATCCAAGTTTGCACTACAGCACACAAAAAAGCATTATAAAATATAAATCACATGAAGACAACAGTATATTTATAGCATAATTTCATATTTAATATACACTAAATTATCAAACATTAAAGCTATAAAGAAAATTATGAAACAAAAAATATTTTAACCCTCAGAATAATAAAGTGACTAGGGTTGGGATTTTAATAATATATACATATAGCTCTCTCCCATCCTTAACTTTAAAACTGGGCTGTTAAAAGGACAGGAAATTACAAATACTACAGAAGGCCAATGAGAGAAATAGAAAAGAAAAGGTATTGTTAACTCTCTCAAAGAGACACCAATTGTCCCTACAAGCCTGAGGTTCTTAAATGGTGTAAAGGGTCATTGAATGCATTCTAAGCCTTGCTACCACCACACCTTAGCCCTAGACCTCCTGCTTCTGCTCTCCTGGATTGATCTAAAAATTACCAAGGCCCATGACTTCTAGGAGGACAGTGGAAGGCCATCTACAGGAGGTATTGATTTCTGTTATTTGTCCAAAAAAAAAAAAAAATCAAGATTTTGTATGGCTTTGGGTATGCCCGACTATCAGGGGGTTATCCTAACTATGCAATTTTAAATGCAATGGTGTTTCCCCTTTACCTATCCTAAACCACACGACTCAAGTTGCTCTTTGAGTCTTTCAACCACTGGTCATGTAAAGTTCACAATGGCAAGGGTTTATATCCACCACTGTATCCCCAGCACCTGGCATAAGACTACACTTGGAACCTAGTGGGTGCTCACCATATGCTGAATGATTAAAGAGATGAAATAGTTTTTTAATGCAATGTTTTTAAATGGCCCCTAAACAATGTATTGAAAGTTTATTAAATTTACACGTAATTTTCATAAAATGTGCATTCCTATTAGAAGCAACTTCAGTTTTAGCATAATTTAAACTTTGACATAATAAAATCTGTTATAACATATAAACACAATGTACCTTAAAATTCCACTGGTTTTTTTTAAATAATTTCATGTATAACATGATGCTGTTAATTAAGAATATACAATCTTGTTTCTTGAGGTTTTTTTTTTTTAATTTATGCTTCTATCTAACTTAAAAATAAAAGTTATAGAGGGGAAAGAAATTATTGGAACATTAATGGAAATATGCTATACTTGACATTATTTAGAGAACATTTTACAAATGATAAATAGGTAACATAGGACTATATTCTACTATATTGGATGATTAAAATGCTGGAACAAGTTCAAATAGAACATTAGGAAAAAAACTGCAACTCTCCATATGTCAGTAATGGCAATAAATTGCCAGAAATAACACATATTTGTCCAACTGATACAAATGAAATAATTATATACTATGTAATGAAAAATCTATTTGTAGATTATATAAATTCCTTCATTTTCATTGTCTTTTTTTTTCATTTTATGATTTTCAAAAGCAAAACAATGGATTATAAATGTAATTCAAATTAGTAAGATTTGCTTTTATTAACACCTCTAAAACCTGGAATGGGAAAAGGTTAAAACTACAGATGAAAATTAAGTTTTTAAAAATCTACATAATTACTATTCCAAATCAGTATATATAATAGAGTATAAGACTCACAATTAAACACAGACATTATACTCCCATGTAAATTAAAAATATGCCTTATTTCTGGAATATTCTATTCCATTTTAGTTAAAACATTACAAATAAGGCATAACAAAGTAAAAAAAATGTTTTAGAGAAGGTCACAAAAATGATAAACAGAAAAGGACTTCTAAAATTTATGAATATGAACTTGGAGGATCAAATAGGTTACAAAAACACAAAATATAATCTGATAGTAGAGAGAAATAAAAATAAAGACATAAATCAATGTGAGTTGTAGAAACAGCCTTAAAAAACAGGTGTATATTGTTAAATACGTTAAATAATATAAGCAGTAATATTTTGCTTATTAAGAATGGAAAGTTTGCTGAGATTAACAGGCATCTCTATATAGAAGCATAATTAAGATTATAGACTAATTATCAATTTCAGAGATAACTAAGATTCAAGATGATGTCAATCAAATAAGTACATTAAATATATAAATATATTAAATGAAAAAGCTAAGATAGATAAAGTGGCAGTGCAGACACACTAACATAAGTAAGTGGCATATTTAAGTGGCATATTTCTGATATTCTTCCCTTTTAAATCTGAAAAATAGTTATTGTTTAAATAGTAGATATAGAAATATATAAATCAATTAACTCATTTTATCAGAGAAACATTGGTGTCCCAAAAAGATTGTGTGTATGTTCTACATATGTATGTGTGTGTGCATGTGTGTGTATAGATATACACACAAATGGTTAAAAAGTAAACAGGTACTTGTATATTATATATTATTTCTCATCTATATTCACTGTATTTTTAAAATATAAAACTTAGTAAAACTACAGTTTCTATGTGTAGTTTTCAAATTATAAAAGTCTATAATATCCAAAAGGTAGTTTTACAACTGCACTGCAAAAGTCACTGTTCTTTATGATTTGAAGAGGGAAAATCTTTTAATAAATAGCACAGTACAAAAGTTTTACTGTGGAGTTTTTTTGGACATCCAGCATATTACGATTTAATCATTTGTCACCACAGTACACATTTTAAGCAGTGACCCCCATGAATTAATACACTGTGTACCCATGTCCCACTGGTGATATTTTTTATTCTGCTATCAACTAGAAATAAGCAGTATATGGTAAGAAGCTGAGCTCAAAAATATTATCCTAGTAAATTATCCAAAAAAAAAAATATGTTTGGCTAAAAAGGTTTTTTTCCTGTTTCTCTCCTAACTTCAAAGGGATTTCGCAGGTAGTCAATAATTCTGCTTGTGTAATGCCTCTTCCACCAATAGGAAAGCATATTGTAAAGCTTTGTTTGAAAGGTCCCTCAGTTAACAAGGAGTTTGCAATTTGTTTAAACTACCCTAAATGGTTCAGAAGAATGTAGCTGCCATTTTTATCTTTTGCCAGGGTTAAAATTTGAATTAGTAGTAAGATAATAGTATTGAAGATTTCCAGGCAAGTAGTTATGTAAAGCACAAATTTAACCAAAAAACTGTTTCTAACCCTATAAGAACCCAGTTGCTCTTATTGATATATTAAAATTCATAGTTTGATATCCTTGCAAAACAGTATGGGAGAGCTTACCCTTTCCTGTATAACCCAAGATCAAAGTGAAACTAGACCATTAATGAATAAAAACAACAAAAACTTTTAATTTTTTTAAGTAATCTGAATCCTTAATTAGGCATGAACTTCTTTACTTGTGTTTATCTTTTTTATTTTGAATATGTTAGAAAAATAATTTAAACTGTCTTAATATATACAAGCATGCCATTAATAAGTTTACTTAATTATTGATTTAGGTTTTTAGTTCAATTAATATTCTATGAGTGTAGACAGCGACAATTCATAAAAAAGCAAGAGTTCCATTTCTCCCGAAACTGCTAACTTTACATAAAATTGAAAATCCCAATGAAATGTAATCTTAAATGAAATAAGAAAAATGTATCTCTCAGAAGCTAATTAAGCAATTTAATTTTAAAGCTTTAAAAGTTTATGAGGTGATGTCACAAATTTCATCCCTTTATTCCTCTCTAACCTTTACTTTTTAGAAACTACAGAGGGAGGAAAGGGGGAGGGGAAGACAATAAAAAGTGGCTTAAATCAAATGCAGCAGAAAAATTCCTTATAGCCTCACTTTTCTTTTTTAAGAATGCAAAACAAAGACACTATTCATTGCTCCCGTAGTGGGGATGCTTACTATGCATATCTGTATCACCACTAAGCCAGAGCCCAATAGATAGGAGGCGCCATCATTTTCCACAACAAAATAAAATAAAGCTTACCTTTGTATGTGGTTCCTGTCTCTTACCAGGCAAAAACTGGAAATCTGGGGAATCATCTCCATAACTTTCTTGGTTGGCTCAGAAATATTGCTTTTAAAATCTGATTGGGTCTCTTTTTGCTGCAATAGCTCCTGTTTGGCATATTCTTTGAGCCTTTTGTAAAGGGTGCGTAGGCCCTGCGCTGTTCGAGGAGGACGGTCTACTCCAATTGCATTATAGTTAACTGCTATGATATCCCAACATCTATTCTTTTCCACTATTACTGAATGTTTATTAGTGTGTTCTTCGAGAATTTTAACATATGGCTTCACAAGCTTTAGCAAATCAAGCTTTTCAGATAAGGTAAAATTGGAAGATCTAGCCTTTCCTACCATTGTTATTTTCAAATTAAGTAGGCAGTTTCTGAAACCACCATGCAGCCTTCAGCTCTTGTCAGCTCTTTTCACAAACAGAAAAAAGATCAGGCTTAACTAGGCTAGCCTCATTTAGGCCCACGCCTACGGGGAGGGTTTATTAAAATTCCTCCAGCTTAAGCTGACGCAGGTTCAGGAAATCTGCTTAAGCCAAGCCTGACCTACATAAAGCTTCTCACTGAAGAAGACAGGAAGGCACAAGCAAACACACTTGTGTATAAAGAGAACAGCTCGAGAGAGGATTTAATACACACAAGTCTAGAGATAAGCATGGAACACAGCTAAAAATTAGCTAATTTAGTGAGAATGCCGAATTTCCACAAATGTATGCCTAGCTGATAGACTGAAACTGCACTGCAGTATCACTTTAATAAAAACAAAAAAGGAACTGTTTTGTGCTATTTGTTTACAAATCCAGTAGACAGAAAAATGAAAAACTAAAGATATGAGTGATGAATGTAGATTCCTAACAGAGCCTCTAATCACTGTTTCTGAGCTGCTGTTCTCTCTTACAAAATCTGCATAATGCTGGTCCTGCTGTCAATCAGGAATTGCATATCCTCTAGCTAGTTAGGTTACACCCAGACTCAGACTTCACAGTAAAGCTAAGCTTCTCCTTCATTTTACAGTCTACAGGAGCCACTGAGCATTTTTTTCAGTTACTTAAGAAGAAATTTTTCTTGAACACTAAATCTAGGAAGATAAAAATTATGTTTTTAAGGCAATGGATTATTCTAGCTGTAACGTATGTGAATATGCTAGCCTGCTTTATCGTGTGTAAAAAAACACTATTCACAGTGAGAACAGTATAATCACGCCTTAACACCGCACACAACAAAATCGCATTTGCTATTATTATAGAGAAAATTTTGTGTGTGTGTGTGTGTGTGTGTGTGTGAGGAAGATCAGCCCCTGAGCTAACATCTGTCACCAATCCTCCTCTTTTTGCTGAGGAAGACTGGCCCTGGGCTACCACCCGTGCCCATCTTCCTCCACTTTATATGGGACGCTGCCACAGCATGGCTTGACAAGCGGTGCGCGCGTGCGAGCCCGGATCCAAACCCGGGAACCCAGAGCCCCCGACGCAGAGCGTGCACACTTAACCACCACGCCACACCACCTGGCCAGCCCCAGAAAAATTTTTATTTACCTATATTCACATAATTTGGACTATGAAAGTGAACAGCTAGTCAAGCTATTTGCAAGGCCACCAATTTGCGTGCTCAGAATATATTTTCTAATCCCTGTCTGAAAACATGATAAATAACAATGTAGGCAAAATAAGCCTATTTCTCCTAATATACATGTTTCTCCAGACAGGAGAATGAATTGGAACATACTTGAACACAGTTCCATTCAAATAGACAATTAGTAACACCCATTAAAAATGCTCCAAGGAAAACAAAGGTGAATCTAGATACAGCCCCTATCAAGGGAACTGTAGTTCTACAAAAATGCCTTGTTTTTCATTCTTTTCACTATGAGCCAGACAATGTGCTAGAAGGTTTAAATGGGTTATCTGTCAGGAAAAAAAGCGAAAAAGTGCTGGGTGTTCTATGGAATGTTGTCTGGTATACCCCCCTGGGTAATCCGATTCTTTAGTAGTCCTAGCCTTTCATTGTCTTTGAGTAGTTTTATTGCTCAGTAATTGTAGAAAACAGTAATGCAAACAATTCTTGTCCATAAAGATGCAAACTGAAAATTGACCTGCCCCTACAACCTGACCACAGGAACTCAAAGGAAAGCAAGAACATAGGACATATACTGTCTTTAGATAATATTTTGTTATTTTTGGACGAAATATAGGTATTGTATTAAGAAATGAAATACTAATAAAAATATGAAAGACCACTCAATCTCACTATCAAGGAAATGTATACTAAAAATAATTTTCATCCATAAGATCAGCAAAATTCTTAAAGATTGAAAATGTCAGGAGTAGATGAGGATGCAGGGTAAAGAGTACTCTTCTGTACTGTTGATGGGACAGTAAGATGGCATTTTGGGTGGTAATCTGAGAGTCATCTATTAATATTTACATGTGTAAAACCTAAAATTGCAGTAATTTTACTTCTCAGAACATACCTTAGAAAAACACTCAGACACAAGGAGCAACAGAGCATTCTTCGTAGTTACATAGTACTGGAAGCAATCTAAGATCACATCAGTTGGGGACAAGTTAAAATCACTAGAGTACATCCATACTGTGGTCTACTCTGGCAGCATTAAAATGAAAGAGGCAGATTTCTATGTATTGACATAGAACAAGCTCCAAAACATATGGTAAGTAAAAAGAGCACGTAAAACAAAAATACATACAATATAATTCCATTATGCTTACCAAAAACACCCAAAGCTAAATATTTCTGTAGGAAAATATACATGTAGGTCCAGAATGTAGGTACATAAATATGTATGAAAATGCACTCTAAAAACATCTAGAACGCCACTGTCCAATACAGTAGCCATGAACCACATGTGGCCAATGAGCATTTTAAATGTGGTTAAGGGGACTGAGGAACTGAATTTCAAATTTTATTGAATTTTAATTTAAATTAAAAATTTTTAAACTGAAGCAGCATATTCTTCCATTAAACACAACTTTATTGTTTGGTAGGATGACATTTTACTTCACCCTTTCATCACATATGATACTACTGTTTCTAATATTACTGACAAGAACTCCCCCTTTGACCAAACTTTAGCCATGCTCCTCTGAGCCCTCTTCTCAACTAGGCCTTGGCCTTGGAGGCCTGCCAGGCCCAAAGTTGGCAAGAATCCTGCTTAACCAGTTTATGGAGCATCCCCAACCCTTGATACCTACCCAAGTTCCCCTCAGTAATTTTTCACCCACGGACTCCCTTACCCTGCCCATGGGCACTGTAAGTGCCAACTGTATTGGGAGTTGAGTTCAACCTCTCTCCCCTATTGCAACAGTCTTGAGTCAAGTCTTCTTGCCCTTTTAATTTGTCCAACGCAATTTTTCTTTGATGCTACACATAATCATATCACCAGTGTAGTCAGTCTTAACAAACTGATTCCATTTTAAAAGATTTTTTTTCTATGCACTGATATAACATTTAATGATTTGTTTGGATATTTTATGCAGACACACAAATTACACTGTTACCCTGTGTAAAATGTAATTGATTAATCTGAAATATTTATTACTGTTTTAATTATAATTAAATTATTTTTCTAGCTAAAAAAATAAGAATGCGCACATTTTTTAATTAAAAAAAAAAGCAGGGCCTGGGCCGGTGGCGCAAGTGGTTAAGTGCGCACGCTCTGCTGTGGCAGCCTGGGATTTGCCAGTTCGGATCCCGGACGCACACCGACGCACCGCTTGGCAAGACATGCTGTGGCGGCGTCCCATATAAAGTGGAGGAAGATGGGCACAGATGTTAGCCCAGGGCCAGTCTTCCTCAGCACAAAGAGGAGGATTGGCAGATGTTAGCTCAGGGCTGATCTCCTCATCAAAAAAAAAAGTATACTACTGACGCAGAATCAAGAGGAGATGTAGAAGCTAGTACTACCCTTACTGGAACAGTAAAGAAAAAAGAGACTGGAATCAGGCATATTGCAAATTTCACAATGAACACCAAATGCAATTTGCTAGAGCAGAACAAGAATAAGCTGTTTATTGCATAAAAAATTTTAAAGACAATATTAAGAGACATTGTCAACAAACACATAGCAAATATGACAAGAAGTTCTCTCTACAAACAAGAATTGATGAAGTTTAGTTACCTCAAATCAGAATTAAATATCAAGAAATATTTTTAAATAATATGTAACATGTCTGAGCTTGTAACTTTTTTTTTTTTTTTAAGATTTTATTTATTTTATTTTTTCCCCCCACAGCCCCAGTAGATAGTTGTATGTCATAGCTGCACATCCTTCTAGTTGCTGTATGTGGGACTCGGCCTCAGGATGGACGGAGAAGTGGTGCCTCGATGCACACCCGGGATCCGAACCCGGGCCACAGCATCGCAGCGCGCGCACTTAACCACCAAGCCACAGGGCCGGCCCATGAGCTTGTAACTTTGGCCAGCTATAAAATGGCTTGGTTTCTTACACAAAAAAAGAAAACCATTTTTAGACAGAGAGATAATAAAAAAGTATATTATTTCAGTTATGGAAATTTTATTAGAAAATTATGGAAAAAAGATTTTAAAAGATATATTTTAAAAAAGAAACACCTTCAATTAAGCAACCCACAACTGCCTAGAGAATACAAGACCTAAGACCTAACATCAATTGATTCAACAATTTAAAAAATCACAAGTACTTTTTTTGTGTGTGTGTGAGGGAGATCAGCCCTGAGCTAACATCCATGCTAATCCTCGTCTTTTTGCTGAGGTAGACTGGCTCTGAGCTAACATCTATTGCCAATCCTTGTCCTTTCTTTTCCCCCCAAAGTCCCAGTAGATAGTTGTATGTCATAGTTGCACATCCTTCTAGTTGCTGTATGTGGGACGTGGCCTCAGCATGGCTGGAGAAGCGGTGTGTCGGTGCGCACCCGGGATCCAAACCCGGGCTGCCAGTAGCGGAGTGCACACACTTAACCGCTAAGCCACGGGGCCAGCCCCCACAAGCACTTTTCTTTTTTTTTTTTTTTTT